TTCGGCTATGCAGGGTAACTTTAACTGGCACAAGTCATCAGTTAAAGTCGGAAAGAACATCTCGGAGCATTTCAATACCGAACGAGGATTCAGACAAGGTGACAGTTTGTCATGTGATCTTTTTAACATCCTGCTGGAAAAGGTCATACGAGAGGCAGAGGTGAACAGAAATGGCACTCTGTACACCAAACAACACATGTTAACCGCCTACGCCGATGACATCGACATAATGGGTCGAACGTTGCGAGCAGCAACAGCTACCTCCGAACAAATTGAGGAGTCTGTCAATGTGGGACTGACAGTAAATGACGAGTAGACCAAGCTGATGGTATTAACGCGCAAGACTCGGATCAACAGTGTGAACTTGATAACTAAAGCTTTGATGAAATCAACGATTTTATATACATCGTTATCGCTATAAATAAAACTAATGACATCAGTTTGAAATTCGGAGAAGGACAGAACAGAAACCTTTCACCAGACCAAACTCACACTCTACAAGACGCTAATACTACTTGTGCTGGGGTATGGATCTGAAGCATGGATACTTGCGCAAGCAACAGAGGCAGCTCTTCGAATGTTTGAGAGAAAAATTCTCCGATCTGCGGCGTCGGTGAATATAGGTGTCGAATGAACCACGAGATTTATCATTTATACATTTTGTTTAGGTTCTGATTATGGAACAGAGGTCTGAAGCCAGCTAAGTATGTACCTTTACATCGAGGTAGTTTATACTAATACCATATTACAGACACTACGTTTGGAAAACTAGGCTGTGAACTTTAACATAGTGAAAATTAGACGACACCTTTATTTGTACTTAAAAACTAGGAATATTTTCTGAGGCTGAAAAATGCTATGTCTAAACATGGTCATATATAGATTATTTTCTGCGTAGATTTATTCCAGCCTCCACATCCCCGAATTACTAAATTAGAGAGTTTTTATTAGAAACTGTGACTACAATTTGTCACATGCCCAGTAAGTTTTTTTCCTGAGATCTAAGAACAAGAAATAGTCACTGGAGGCCAAATTGGTAAAATGGCCAAATATAGCAGAACTTAATTAAATTATTCCATCAATCAATTACCCCGGTTTTACTTTTTTAACTTTACTCTAAGTTTATTAACCTTTAAACAAATTAATTTTCGCTACATTTTCCATATTAAAATTGCAATTGTTTGTCGCTATTTTGTGTTGAATGTAAACAATACTTTATAAGTCACCAGCCAATTAATTAGACATATAATATATTTGATTAAAATCCATACCTGCACGCGTATGTTTTGAGAATAACACAGTTTTTTTATCGGAGCCAGCACTTTTACAATATAATAAATATGGTTTTTAAAATATGATTTCACACTGTGGCAAATGCGAATACTTTCAAAACAATCAACTTCCATCATTGTAAATTGATTACGTTATTAATCAATTATACAAAAAGAAAGTCCTCAGATCAATGTTCATTCCCAGGGTCTTACTACTAATAGTATAGATAAATTAAAAGAAGCTAAGCATCAAATAAGCATAGCTTGAAAGTAATTCCAATATCCGGTGTGACTTTGTGCCCATATTAGTATTACTAGGAATGCGAAATCCGAAAAGTCTTCCTCAAATTCATCTCTAATTGTATCATGACACTGATGTTCGATGTTTGAATCGAACTACATGCACGCACAATAAAGTTGTGTTAAAACACATCATAGTGCGTGCATGCATAAGGTTTGATACGTCTTGCTCAAATTGTCTCTTTTTGTGTAGTAGATGTGTTAGTGCATGTTATTTCAAATATTCAACATCTACCGGAAACGTTGAGTTTTGAATAATATATTGTATGTGTTCTGTATGGTATATACAAAAGATTTATATTATGATATTAGATTTTTTTTGGTAAAGCCTCACAATTTTCTATAGATTTGAGGCAATATAATCTAACTTGAATTTAAATTAATAGTAATATTGTTTTTAATTTAGAGATAAAAACCGAATGGTAAGAACTAATATTATTTTAATATTTTTGAAACAGAAACTATTTTATTTAAGGGGACCCCCCCCCCATTCTCGGGGTCAAATTTTTTGTTGATATAATTCGAATCTACACTGATTAAAGAATGTCTCTACAAAATTTCATGTGAAAATCTCAAGAACTCTTGAAGATATAGCCGATATATTGTGTCAGCATCAAGTGACGGCTGAAGGGCTTCTCAAACTTTAAACGCGTTTTTCTCTAAACATTTTTTTGCGAATGGCGGACACGATAACTCAAAAACTAATAACCCATCGGTTCCAAATTTTGCAACGTTTCTCCGGGAGTGTATAGCTCTCGTATGAACTAGGATAAAGCGAATCGGTGAAGATCTTCCTTATTTTGTAACTTGGTTTTTGGTAAAAAATCGGCGATTTTCCAAAAATATTTTTTCAAAGGTCCGCCATTTTGTTAATTTTAGAGCGAAGTCAATAATCATACGAGAGCCAGACATGTACCCTTTCTAACACCGTTGGAATTTTCGGATTCCGATGTTCCAGTGAGGAGTTATCATGCCCGCCATCAAAAATAAGGACTTACAAAAAACAACAACAAAACAATAACAAAAATTTTTTGTAATTTTTTTTTTCTTCTCTTTTAAATCTTCAATTATATATGTGCAAAGTTACAAACCTTAACAAGCATTTGTATTCATTTACCAGCCCATTGAAAATCTTTAAAAATTTAAATCGAGAATGGGGGGGTTCCCTTAAACTTATTATTTTCATTTATTTATTTTTTTCCAGAATAGCCATGCTGAATCCCAGTTTGTTTTTCATAAAAACAGCTACTTATTATTGGGGAATTTATTTAAACTCAAGAAAGGACTAATTTTATTATTACATATTATATTAGTATCAAAACGCTTATAACGAACACCGATTATATGGAACTTTTTTTATATTGAATACATTTCCTGGTCCCGAAGTTTTTAGACAGATTTTTCATACAAATCGTTACTCTTATAGCGAAATACGGATATAGCGAACTTTTTTATAATGAACTATTTATTCGGTTATAACGAACTTCTTACAAATATACATTATACTTAACGATAACAATCTCCACATACCCTAAGGCTGACAATCTTTCACATTGAATAAGGAAACAGAGAAACAGCTTATGTATTGTTAAAAAGGACGCAAAAACTATCCACTTTGGAATTGAAAATATGTTTTCCTGCTTATTTTGGGGTTTGCTTTACCTTGAATATAATGAAATTATTCTAAAACGAACTAGTTCGCTATAACCGTACAAAGTATCCGACATTTGATATCTTCGGCAGTCGATTGGACCATCATTGCAAGAGAAGGTCCATGGATGTTCCTGGGTTTTTGTTTTAATTTATGCTCTCTAAGCTATTTTGACATTTTTTCTATTATGATATTTTTTTTATGACGATCAATATACTGGTTGGTTTGGGAAATATTTCGCGGCTTTGAATTTTGAATTAGTTTTTTTTTTTTACATTTTTTCTATTATGATATCGAAGGAAATAGTAAAATTTTTATGACGATCAATATACTAAAAGGTTGGTTTGGGAACAATATTTCGCGGCTTTGAATTTTGAATTAGTTTTAAGTCCACTCTCTGTGTTCATTTATTCTGAGTTTACTTACTTTTTCATAGTTTTCATATAGTTTGAATAATTTATTATCTCCTTCATCATATCGGGGTCAATTTTGAAGAATTTGATGTACCCGAATAAAAATCTAGCTTGCCTTGTGCTTGCTACGGATCATATAGTTGCCTTCCTTTCTCATTTCTACTCCATAATAGTTTATTGCATATTTGAAGAGTTCTCAAAGGAATTTGTGCAAAAAATCTATGGAAAGATAGCGATATATTTAATCTCTTATCTTAATAAAATTTATAGTTCATACCTGCGTATATAATCTCTTTGTACTAAACTAAAATATCGGTTTAATGCCTCAACTGTTTTTAGACCAAATCCGTTGTTAGACAATACGAAGTTCACATAGAAATGTGTGTCTGTTTGTATCCGCATAACATACTTGAATTAACGGTTTTATTTCAAAGTTAGAGCAAATTTCTGGAAACTACCCCATAAAATGCTCAACATTTTGTGACCCAAACCTCATTGCACATTGTAATATTTGTATTCGAAATGAATTTGCTTTGAATTTGCTACAACTCCTTGGATGTTTGATATTAAAAATGCGATTTATCGGTCCATGTTTTGGTCTAGCCACTTTTATTTGTACCTGAAAATAACAAATATCAGTTTTTCCCTCGTCAAGGAAATCCCAAAATGAGTAAAAACAATATAGTTTGCTTATCACCTTATTAATAGCCGCATTTCCATGCTTATCAAGGGTCCAATTTGATTTTGTCATGTCCCATAGTGGTACACAAATTCATTTTTGACCTGATGATTGGACTGCTGTGCCAACTTGTGGTTTGTATTCGACACAGTTTGAACAAACTCATTGGTTATAGGGTTGTGAAATTGTGATTAGACGTCGTGAGAAAAACAGCCAACCTTGGTTTATGGACAACATTTGTTCATCACTTCATCCGATCCAGTTTTTTATCTCCTTAAACATAGCGATGTTCATTTTGGGATTATAACCTCATTAATGTGTCGTTTTTGGGCAAAAATCAAAAATATTTAGTTGATTTTTTTAACTGGAAATTTATTTTGTTTCCAGTTACAATGTCGCCTTTGATCAGCATTTTATTTAAAATTAAACATTTCCATTTCATATCAATTACCAGTAGTTAGCATTCCAATTTATTTTATCTGGTAACACTCTCAACATATGTTCATTGACATTTATTATCGGTGGAATGGCAATCAAATGATTTAGTTATCGCATGTTATCGATAGTTAGTTACATCGATTGTTTTGGCAGCTCTAATTAGTTGCGAATGCAGTGATAGGAACTATTTTTAGAATTTTCATCTCTTTTTTCTCCTTTAGTGTAAAATTAAAGTGCACTTTTTCTTTGACCCCCATATACCGGGAGATAATCACCCACGCCGGCAACTAATCTCTCGACATGGTGCACAAATGTGAGACTCCAAATTGTGGCAAAGAGGCAACACTGCAATGCCCAACGTGCTTGAAGATGGGAATTCCTGGTTCCTATTTCTGTTCGCAACCATGCTTTAAGGGTTTCTGGAAGGAGCACAAGCTAATTCATGCATTAGCTGGTAGGAATACAGATTGATATCTAAAAGAATTTTGTGTTTCATAATTTTCTTTTTGTTTGTTATGTAGAAGGCGCCGCAAAACCCAAATCGACTGAAGACGATGGTGGTTATACCCCTTGGCCTCATTACCGTTTTACCGGTAAATTACGCCCGGCTGAGAAAACACCCAAACGTGCTGTACCTGAAAGCATAGAACGTCCCGATTATGCCGATCATCCTCAGGGTAGAGCTGCTTCCGAAGAGGCTATGCGCGGCAATACTTCCATTAAGGTTTTGGATGACGATGAAATTGAAGCAATGCGTGTGGTTGGTCGTTTGGCACGTGAATGTCTAGATGCTGCCGCACAGGCAGTGGATGTGGGTGTGACCACAGATGAATTAGATCGATTGGTGCATGAGGCTGCCATTGAACGGGATTGCTACCCATCACCATTGAATTATTATAATTTCCCCAAATCATGTTGTACCTCAGTCAATGAAGTCATCTGTCACGGTATTCCGGATTTGAGACCCCTCAAGGATGGTGATATTTGTAATATCGATGTAACCGTCTATCATCATGGCTTCCATGGTGATTTAAATGAAACCATGTTTGTGGGTAATGTTTCGGAGAAACATAAGAAATTGGTACGTGTTACCCATGAGGCGTTGAGCAAAGCCATTGAATTGGTGAGACCCGGTGTCAAGTATCGTGAAATTGGTAATGTCATACAGAAGTATGTGGCGCCACATGGTTTCAGTGTTGTCAAGAGTTATTGCGGTCATGGTATTCATCGATTGTTTCACACTGCCCCAAATGTGCCTCATTATGCGAGTGAGTATAAAATAATTTGTTTTATCATTGGGAAAGAATTAAGACACATATTTTTCGATAACTGTTGAAATTTTGAATTCATATTAGCCTATATCGTACCATTTTCTAAACCCAAGAGAATATTGGGTTAATGTATCATGTTTTTCCGAGTGACGAGTTTTCAAAAAAATAGATTAAAAAATCGACGTAAAAAATAAAAAAAATATCTGCGGATACAATTTTTGTCAAAATATCGGTTGAAGACCCCAAGTGTTTTTGAACCAAATCCGTTTCAATGCACCATTTTAGTCTAAATTTGCATTAAGTAATATTTCGTCCAAACTTAGATCAACTTTCTGGATACTCCCCCACAAAATTTCACTTAATTAAATCTCTTCAATTTCTCTTTCAGAAAATTCCGCTGTTGGTGTTATGAAAGCCGGTCACACCTTTACAATTGAACCCATGATTTCGGAAGGTGTTGCAAAGGCTGAGCAATGGCCAGATGATTGGACTGCAGTCACCGCTGATGGTCTCTACTCGGCACAATTTGAACAAACACTTTTGGTAACAGATACGGGTTGTGAAATTCTGACTAGACGTCGTGAGAAAAACGGCCAACCATGGTTTATGGACAAAATGTAGAAAAGACCACACACGCGAACACTTACGAACATACAATAGTTTTTGTACATTTTACACTTCAATTGTTTTGTAATTTAAATAAGCAAAAAAAAATTAAATAAAAGCTGTTTTATTTTACTCGAATAGTCAAATTTGTTTTATTTTATTACAAAATGGGAAGAAATACCTGCTAACCTTAAATTACATTAAATCTATAGAAGAGTTTTTGCTAATGAGGGCGATTATTTCTCAAGAGGAGCATAATTCAACAGTTTTTCAATTAAATCGACATGACCCAACAGCATACGACGACAGCAATAGCGTTTCAAACCCAGGGCATCCAAGGCATCACTAAAATAAAAGAGAAAACATTTTGTTAATTTTTTTCTAGAATTCATTGCGGCTTCGACTTACCCTTCAGTGTATTCGGCTTGCAGCAAACCCAAATATGATTCCCATTTATTGCCAATAACTTTGCCACAGGTGAAACAGCGAATTGGAATAATCATGTTGATGTCTTATTTACTTTTCTAAAATGGGTTTTAAATAATAATTTAATAAAATATCCACAAGCGTGCTAGTAAATGTGCCTCCACTCAACTCAAAACAAAGCAATATGCCAGAAATGTCACATTTCGATGTGCCACACATTTCGATAAGGCAATCGATTATTCATTATCGACTTAAACAGCATTTCATGTACAAAACAACCGCTGTACGGTGTAGTGTAGTCGATATTGCAAACTCAGAGATAACATTCAACAGTTGTGCATTTTTTTTAAAGAAAACTTTGGACAAAAGAAATGTGTTGTTTTTACTGTGAAAATAAAGAAAATAATAAATTATAGTGTTAAAAACAATAGATCTATTATTAGTGATCAAGTAAAAGTGCTTTTTATTGAAAATAATTGCGTTTAAATTGACAAACAAGGGCCGAAAGTGCTAAGTTAAAACCCCAAACAAAAAGTATTCGTTCTTCAAGGGCATCTTTCTTTTTTTGCAGAATATCATTGCAAATTGCAGCATTCTGTGTTTGGTGAGTTGGAATACAAATTACTAATAAAATGAAAACTAAAGCATAACTGTATGAGGTTATTAAATCGTTTAAATATATCTTGAACAGCATTTTAATTGAAAGTCTTTTCGGAAACCTTGGGTGAATTTGTTATTAGACAAAGACCTGAGATCCTCCAAACTGCTATGAAATATGTTATCTGTAAAGGGGCCTTAAAGTCGCTACTAAAAATGATGTCAAGAATTTGTAACACATGGCAATATATACCCCATATAGAAGAGTAGTTTAAATATATCTGGTCCCCAAACAAGCGACTGAAGCTAGGATCTAGAAATTTGTTCGCGGTTTGTGATAAGACGGAATTTGTATAATAAAATAAATAAAGGTCTTGCAAAGAACTAAAACTGTCGAAATTTTTTATTAGAAATTATAAAAAACATAATTATTACCCCAACAATTTGATACTGCTTATAATAGTTGGTATGTGGGATCGTATAGTTGCTGACACTGACAAAGTTGGTATGCAAGGTTCAGACAATTTGACTCAGATTGATGTGTTAAAGTTGATATAATGATCTCAGTGATTCAGACATATTTTTTAGGAATACTTCTGAAAGCGTTTAACAAAAATACCAAATATTGTGAGTAGCGTTTGATATGATAAATAAAATGTAAGTCAAATAGTTTGCATTGCCTATATTTTTCGTAATTCCGAGTATATTTTTCGCAGTGTATTTTACAAAATTTAATTTTGTATACTTTATTGATAATATAAACATTTATTATACAAGACAAGACAAAAATTCAAGTGCGAATATGGGGAAATCGGTCCACTCCTTCTGATACTTCCCCCAAAAAATGGCTAGCATTGTGCTAAAAATTAATACTACAATAGGATGGGGACGGACTATCCGTTTTTATACAAACTTTGCACAACATATTACCTTTACCAAGTCTAGATCAAGTCCGAAGGTGGGACCCATTGGTCCACTCCTTCTGGTACCTCTCCCACAATATACAATATTTTATATACTTGTAAATTTAATTTGACCTATACCTTAATATAGAGATGATATTTATATATATACCTTATATAGAGATGATATTTATGATATGATGATACCCTGGGGTCCCTGGGTCCAAATTTTGATATAGCCCCCATATAACCGTACCTCCTGATTTAATGTATTTTTTGTCTATTAGACACATTTTACGATCAAATTGGCTGTAATTTGACACAGAAAGTTCTCTTTGGGTACCAAATATCCGTGCAAAAATGTTAGATCTAGGTCCACGTTTTTTGGTAGCCCCCATACAAAGGTAGCCCTATTTTGAGTATTTACCCAAAAAAAATGTATATAAACTCATTAACAGGCGAATCACTTAATGTAGGCCGCCAAAATTTGGCTTAGATTGTTTTTATATCAATACTACTACTGGTATGGGAAATGGGGTCCAAGTTTTGATATAGCCCCCATATAATCGTACCCACCGACTTAAGGTATTTTACGATCAAATTGGCTGTAATTTGGCACAGATACTTCTCTTTGGGTACCAAATATCCGTGCAAAAATGTATAGATCTACGTCCACGTTTTCAGGTAGCCCCCATATAAAGGTACCCCAGTTTTGAGTATTTACCCAAAAAATTGGATATAAACTCATTGATTTCCACAGTATAAAATACTGCACTACCATTTGAAGATCTTCCTTATTTTTTAACTTGGGTTTGGTCAAAAATCGGCGATTTTCCAAAAATATTTTTTCAAAGGTGCTCCATTTTGTTAATTTTAGAGCGAAGTAATCCATGTTCATATTAAAACATCAATAAACCATTCTTCCCCATTTTTACAAGGTCCAGTCTAAGTTCTACTACATATAAACTGTATATGAGAAGTTTCTAAAGATCGCAGAAGTTTTTACAGTCGAACATGAAATCTTGTATCATAACTCCACTGTTATGCACTTCCACTTTGCGGAGAATTAACAACTCTTTTTCTGTATAGCTGTAATAGAAATAATCATTCAAATTACCGTGCAGTCATCTGATATCAGCTTCAATTTGGTAATTTTTTGTATTCTAAAGGATTAAGACCGTTTCCCAAACAATTGGGTTTTTATTCTTACAGCCTGTTTTTGTAAAATACGAAACAATTTGAACGAATACCAAACCTTTATTTATGTAAAAAAATGTTTCTTGATTCAAAACAAAAATAAATGACATATTTTCAAAACCAAGGAGTTTGGTCGTATGTCACTCAAATTCGTTCGTTTAGACTTTTACAAAAACAGGCTTACTGCTTATATAAGTTACCTGTTTCAAATAGTTGCACTTTCGAAATAATACCCACATTTATAAAAAGAGACTCGTTTTTCTTTTAATAAATTAATAAATAAATAATTGTTTTCTTTTATTATAAATAAATATAAAAACTTAAAAATTAAATTCGAATGTATCGTTAAAAATTTGGTTTAGAAATTTGAAGTCTGTTTGTGTGTGAGCTTTTGTTTGTCTATTGATCTTCATTTGAACTTGAGTATTGTTGTGATTGTTCTTGTTCTTCTTCATACTGTTGTTGTTGTTCATCTTCCATTTGTTGTTGTAATTGCTCTTCGGCCGACTCTGAAGATTGTGAAACTTCAAATAGATCATCTTGGGCATGGTCATCTTCGCTAGCTGGGACACTATCAACATATTCCACGGAGTTCTTGCTGATGTCATCGGAACGTTTTTGCAAACGGGCCTAAAATAATGAAAAACGGGGGTTAAATTTTTAATTTTATTATTGGTATTGAGGATGTTTATCTTACCTCTTCATCAGGCACAAAGATACGCAATGGTGTATCAGCTCCCAATTGTTGTTTCACCAAACGTTGATGTTCTTCAAAGGCGGAGGCTGCTGGATCCAATTGCTGTAGAGGTTGGGCATTGTGTTGCAAAAATTGTTGTTGTTGCTGTTGGAATTGTTGGTACTGTTGCAATTGCTGTTGCTGATCCAACTGTTGTTGTTGCAATTGTTGTTGTTGATGCAATTGATGCTGTTGGAACTGCTGTTGTTGCTGTAATTCCTCATACTGTTGTCTTTGAGCCTCAGCCTGTTCTTCCTCAGCATAGGCCTGCAATAATTGGCTGGAATCCTGATGAGCATTACCATAGTAGTTGGAAACCACAAATCCTGACTCCGTTGTTGATGTTATAGCCGATGGTGGTCCAGCAACATTTTGCAAATGGAAGGGAGCAGTTTCCAACGATTGGTGTTCTTGATCGAGCGCGGGAGCGGCAATTAGAGCAGCAAAATGTGGAGCCACATCTAAGACAGCTTGATTGCTGCTGTGCAAATCCTTGGCAGCTTGCAAGATTTGTCCATTACTGGCAACTTCTTGGGTCAAATCGGCATTGACATATCCAGCCTCGACTACGGGAGCAGCTTCAACGGGCTTAAACAATTGTTGTTGATGTTGGGTGTAGAGATTATTCGATTGGGTAACCAAGTAGGTGGGATTGTAGATGGGAATGGGAGCTGGTTGAACGGCAGCAACATTGGCAGCAATCAGGGGTTGGGTGAATTGTACGGGATAGATTTCGGGAACGATATGCTTGGAAGCCTGGGCACCTACGATCTGTACCAAGGGTTGGGCCACTGGCAATTGATTACTTTGAATATCAGCAGGCAATGGTTTTCCATTGCTTGGGGTATTGAAAGGTTCAACGGCTGGGCGGATTTGAGCGGCAGGCAATGATGGATCTGGATCGGGAGCATAGTATTTCTGTGAACCAGAGAAGGTATCGACAATAGTCTGATCATTTGTGTTCTCTTCTACAACTTGATAGTTGTTCTGTGATTGGTGATACACCTGGGGTTTTGGTGATGAAGTGGCGGGTGGCAAATATGTTTCTTCGGGATGCAAATGATTGTCTTGCAAGGAGAGGTTTGGTGCAGGAATTGTGTGAATGGGATCAAAGTGATCAGCAATGAAATCAGTGTGGTGTTCCAACTGGAAAAAGTATAAAATGATTCATTTGTTTTTGTGTTAGTAGTTTTGAGTGTAAATTTATGACCTACCGGCAAATGTTGTACCTCTGAACTGGCAAAGGAAATTGGTTTCTCATATTTGAAGGGTACATCATAACTTGTGGCTGGTTTATGAATGTTCAACGGTTTAAGTTTAGCACCATTCAATTTCAGTTTCAAAGGTTTACGCAGCAAATTGGGATTTTTCAAATAGATGGGATTGGTCAACTTAATTGGCCTTGGATGTGCTCTGTGATGATGAAGTGAACTGGCCGCAGCATTAATGTGATGATGAATGTGAGCATGTGGTGCATGCGTGTGAGCGTGGGCATGATGACCGTGAATTTGATGGGCATGAGTGTGTGCCAGTTTGGGACGACCCTTTAAGACCAATTGACTAGGTTCATCACTGCGAATTTGCACCACCAAGGTTTTCTGTTTTGCGCCCGGTGCTCGAACAAATGACGTCTGTTTGGCACTCTTCAATGGTAGACTATAGAAATAGAGAGATTTCTTGCTCAGCGGTGGTTCACCCAATGCAAAGGCCAACAGGGCAAAGAATAGCAGAGTTAAGTAGAAGGGCTGAAATGGAAATTAAAAAGAAGAATAATGCGATGATGGATTAGATAGGTAAGTAATAATGTTATTACAATTGTTTTAGATTAAATAAATAATATGTTCTATTTTTAGATTCGCTTTTAGAGTCCGCATTGTGTTCCAGAAATATGCAATTGTTATATAAAAATCATAATATTTTAATTAGAGAACAGCCAAATATTGAGCACCTTACAAACGAAAGGACAAACAATTTGCCTTACGTGGCTTTTGCGCTGAAATTATACCATAGGAAATCAACAACGGCGATGTTGCAGAATAAAAAGGATTCATCATTGCTTACCCACCAATTTGAAGCTGGAAAAGGTGGCATGGTGTAACCGCAACTGAAGTTTAAAAGAGGTTCAAATACGAGTCAATTGTACAGGTTCCTCTCCCATTTAACAAAAAATTAATATACTGGAACCCCTGTAACTTCCGACTCTTTAAGAAAGCTGTGAAATTTCTGATCATATCCCTAAATTCCCTGAACATCACACGTAAAATCCAACACTTTAGAAAGCCTGTTCCAATGCTTTGAGAAAGCTGTCTAATTCATGGAATCAGGATTATCGCACAGTAAAATGATTGTTTTCTGTGCTATAGTCACACCTATAGAATACGGCTCTAGACTGATATGCTTTAAACCGTTCTGAGCATTAAGAGCCATAAAACCGTAGGCTGCAAAACTGAAAAAGTAAAAATACTTTAGCATTATACACTATAAAATCTGTTTCTGTTACCCTGACATTACTCTTACCCACAGAATAAATCCCAAACCTATTATTATTTTTTATAATCTAGTTTCTTTACGATTCTATTTTTTGGTAAAATGGACAAATTTGCAAATTAAGCTTACATTTTGAAATTAATCAAACAATATATTTAAATTACATTCATAATTTCTTTCATCCCAACTTTACTATTTAAATTGGCTGACTGACTGATTTGTAACAATTATCGACTTTCTAAAAACAATATGAAAATACTATACAACATATTTTGGATAGCAACAACAACAACGAGACAAATATAAATACTACCACAAAAAGACAAATAGTAGTACTCTGCAATTAAATCAATAAATTTCTTAATTATAAATAACCGCCACAACTCTCTTCAGACCATAACAACCGACAAAACGAAAATTCCACAAAAAACAAAAGTGTGTCTGTTGGTTTGTGTGGTTAGGTAGTTAGATAGGTATGGAAGTGATACCAGTGAATTGTTGCCATAGATGGTGGACACATAAAATCACGTAGCATTGAGTGAGTGTGTCATTTAGTAGTGGCAGGTTGTTTAAGTTTGACTGCAATTGGCTGTTTGTGGTGGAGTTTAGGATTTTCAAGTGGTTACTATTTCTGCTACGTGTGTCTGTCCGATTGTATGTCTTTCCACATGTCTATTTAATGTCTTTTATTCATTGTCAAGTGTACGATTGTGGTATATGGGAATATTCAAATAGCAACAACAATAACAATTGTTGTAATAGAAAAAACAAACTAATATCATTTTATTCAGTTACTAAATTGTATATTAACTTGGTGGTGACCACCGTTATATTATTGCAAAATGCAACAAATCGCTTTTACTTTAGAAAATAACAACAACAAACAGGTTGTCAATACATTTCTATGCCATTATTGAAAATTGAAATCGAAAGCTATGACTTCCTTCGGAAATAGCTGTGTTGTACATTTTAGGGTTTGTTTTTGAGAACGTGACGTTTAGCATTTTGGGTGGGAAAGCCCTTTTTCGTGGTATAGTAGTAGCTAAGGTGAAATTTTTGTCCACTCGTCAATACATATTTTGCATATTAAATAATGCGTTTTATGGATAATTATCATAATGTATCGTATATGCAATATTCAACAAATCAATAGTTGTTATATAAAAATAATAATGAAATTTTTTGGTTTTGTAGGTCAATGGTAGAGGTGGAAGCGTAATATTAGACAACTAAGAAAAATATGTTTATAAAGAGGGCAAATACTTTTTTTATTTCTGATTATCAGTAAATAATTTAATAATTAGATTTCAGGGCCATTTTTGTAAAGAGAAAGTGTTATTAAAGAATCTATTTTAATTTCGAGGCTAATTTTGTAGAGAAGAAATATTTATTTACATTGCAAGTACTCTAAGTAATGGGTTGATTTCGATTATACAGAACATGTTGCAAGATGTTCTGTGTAACTGTGAGTTATACTTTTTTTATTCTATTTTTGTGAAATAGAAGAGGAAATAAAATTGAGTTGGACGTGCTGAAAATATCTATAAAAAACCCGTATCTAGATAACGTGGAGTATATATTAACGTTGTCATTCCGTTGCAATAACAAAAAATATTAATCGGAATACGAATAGCTCCCCTATAACAGCGTCGATCCATTTGTGTAATAAAGTCAAATAGTCAGATATGAGTGTCTCTATTATTATTCTTTTTAATTTTTACCTCTCAATGAAGTATTCACTTAATTCAATTATATGTTCAGAAAAAAACATATAATGTCAATTGCGTGCCATTGCTTTTTATCTTCGTCATGAATGAGTGCCACAATTCAAATGGAAGTATTAACTGGTGCACATAATAATACCTGGTTGCCATTAAAAAAAAAACAAATACTGTTTAAAATCAACATAAATAGCATCACAACAAAATTTCTTTAAGTAAACATACGTTTAGATCATTGTATGCAGATAGAAGATGAGACGACATTATTGGCACACGCTGTGACAAAGTGTCGTTTACAACAAGAGTGTAGCGTCTATGTGAAAACATAAACTGTATACAACTTTTAATTGGTTATAATTTGGAAAGTGTTCCAAATAATAATTGAAATCAGATGTTGATGATGTTATCAATTGAATTTCTTCTTGTAGTTTTCTTCTACAAAAAAGAAAGAACGGTTATAGTTTCTCTGATACAAATTAATTTAAAAGATCACATTAACAATTACACGTCGAAATGTGAAACATTTATTACCCATTACCTTGCTTTAGATGCCACAATTATGGATCGAATATTACGAAATTTTACAAGGGGAGGGGGATCTAGTCACCGAATACCTATGACTGTTTTGATTATGCTCGGTCAATATTTAGCGGGTCTAATGGACCCAGACTTTTGTGTGAAATATGACAAAATTTGCATTCTATGGTATATGAATTTACTCCAGAAAGACATATGAACTGGAAAAGTTATTAAATATTCGCGTTAGCAAATATTCCCATTACAACGTTAGAGGGCGGACATGCTTGCGAGTTGCGAGTTTTCGGTGGTGATCAGATGATATTTAGGTTATGAAATTGACTTAATTTTTCTTGGTTTCTAATCGCTTTAGAGGCCACAATTATGAACCGAATGTCATGAAATTGTTCACACAGAAGGGGATCTGGTCAACGGACACGCCGGTAAAATATACCAAACAATTTGTGTGAAAAGTAAAAAATACGTTATATGTTCACTGCAGGAGGCATGACAAAAGGCAATTACACTGGCTTGGGATTTAAATGTTAAAGTACAGTGGTGGTTGTGTAGGGTATCCTAGTGTAGGGTTTCCCGCTTACTAATTTGTTTCTCGAATGCAGTGTTGCCTAAATTTGATCGAAATAAATGCTAGATTCTGTTTGTTTTGCTAAAAATGCTAATGGTGCCAAGATACTGCAAGTGACACAGAAAAGTGCTACAAAATGTGTATAAAGAATTTTGTAGAAATGTATTGCTTATGATGAAATTTGGTACATTTGGCTCTTATTGGGTACTAAAAATTATAAATATAGGTCCACTTTTTTTGATAAGCCCCTGTAATTTTTTATTGGGTCGCAAAAAATTATAAATATAGGTAAATTTTTTGTTTTGTATAGACCCCATATAAGAGTACCCCATAATTTTCGTTATTTTGGGGTTCTTGAGCGTATTTTGTAGTCATATGTGGTAACCAACGTCCCTCCCAAAAATTATTTATATTCGCCACTTGTTAGTGGTAGTCCACTTATAAGTCCCTGTTTTATATTTAAATAATTATCTGATTTGTTCCGCGTTTTTTGTTTATCCTTATATAGTCGAAAGTATATATATATATAGATTTAGCCATCTTTTGCAATCATTCCACCTTCGGAGGATATCGAGATAAAAAACTAGAACGCCAGGTTCGGGAATAAAATATATCGACCCTCTATTTAGTCATAGCCCCCATATAATGATGCGTACCCATTTTCAATATTTTTAATATTTAGCGTGAAGGAATGTATTGTGATGAGAAAAAAGCTTGGTTCGAAATTGAGCTATATCAGTCCTCAATTAGGCATAGAACTTCATACAATGATAACTCCAACTGTTCGGTAATTCCTACATGATGTAATCAATATTGGTCCCGCTTAGGTAAAGCCTCCTTAAACCTACACTTACAAATGTTTTTTTTTTCTTCAATGAAAATTTTCATCTTGAACCAGCAGCCTCCACCCCACCCAGAAATAAAATCATGTGTACGTTGGTGATGTCCCTATATGACTTTGCCGCACACATTACAATTTTGTTGAAATTTTCATTTGGTTAACATTATGGTTTACAACAACAATACTTATTATCCTTTTTGGTATGTTCCCTATATTTTCATTTCAAGTAAATATCAGTATACCTATGGTGGAGGGTATTCAAAGTTCGTCCATGCCGAACTTAACGCCTTTTTTACTTGTTTTAATTGGTACTGATTTAATATTAAGCATTCCATAGAGTGGATTCATTGTATTTTGTGTCGATAATTGCGTCACTCTTTGATTATCCCATTTCAGTCCGAATTAATTGATGACAACAACGTTCTGATTTTTCATTTTCCCAAAAAATTAAATTATTTAATAATTTTGATTGTTTTAATGCGTATAAAGTTTTGTTTTATTTTGTCCCAAATGAGGGTGCCAAATATGTAGAATTCAGTTATTCACTCACATGTCTTGTCTCGTTAGTTCGTGAAATCTTGGCAATGTTTATTGTCACCTTCGATTTTCCATTTCGAAATAAGAAAATTTACAAATTTCTCTTAGCTTTCATCAAAGAGTTGACTTACCTTCATTTTGTGTTGCAGTTGAATTGAAAATGAGAATCCTTTTTTGTTGTGGTTTTCGATTTTTTTATCGAAAGATGTAAAGTTGATAATAGAAAATCAGATGAAAGTTGTAGATGTAGAGTGAAGAGTTTTTTTTTTCAATTGGATAGAAGGATATTTCAAGTGAAAATGGAAAAACAAAAGTTGTTGGACGATTGTTGTTGTAGTTGAGATGATGATAGACGGCACGACGAACAACAATCTAATTCAACAACACATAAATGAAAATTAAAATTGCTATCAAATAAATAATCACATCAATCAACTTCATGACACCCGATGTGAAAATGTTAAACACTTTTGAATTAAATTAAATATTTGTTTTCTTTAGTTAAGACGACAGTTTGTGTTTTTTATAATCCGTAATCCCGCAATTTTTGTAACGGCTACTTTTGTTAAAACAAAAAGTATTATCGTTGTCTGGTTTCCCGATACAACCGTCACCGTCAGTTCAATTAGAAATTTCAAAGCCAACTGACTGATGTGTGGACAACGGTGTGTAACAAAACCTCGAATGCGAATCTCGGCTGCAAACCGGCTCCTCCGGCAGCCAAAAAACCAAAAGCACACATTGCATTGCATGGAAACACTTCTGAGGCGAGCACACACACGCACTCTCTCTTTGGTAGTAAGCAGGCGCATGTGCGGCCATGTTACTAGACAATGCCAGACCATGTGATTCGACAAAGGAAAGAGGGAGTGCAGGGTAGGGACGGAGCGTGGAACGTTGGTTGTATGCCATACGTGGTATACTGCGAATGAAAGTGCTGGTCAAGCATGGAAGTTTGTATGACTCGGTTCGCTTCTTTTTGTGGCATGTAAACGTGCCTCATGCACACAACCATGATTATGTTGATGATGATAATAATGGTGGTGGCTCTTTTAGTTGGAATAATCTTCTACTTAACAATAGTTATGAAAAAAAAACAAAATATTTGTAGAAAAAAGAAACAAAACACATATGTATCTATATACAAGTTTTGATTTCGATTTCAATTAAACTTGAACAACCCCTTTGGCTTTGTTCGACTGTTTGTTTTGGCCTATTGTCCGAAACAAGAAAATTGCAAATTGTTCGTGTGATAGTGGCCTATAATTGGGAAAAGAAATAAAAAATTAAAATGTGGATAACCACTTGTTTGGTACGACCGGCACCTAATTTTTTATTTTCTTTTTTTTATTTCTTGGTAATAAACATTACCACACAGTGTTGTAAAAAATCATAACATAACAAAATTGTCTATATTGACCTGGAAAAGAGTTATATGTAATTTTTATATATAGATGTCAAGGTATATATCAATAACCTAGGTGTTTTGAAAATATTATGTGACAAAACTAACATTTTGTAATAAAAAAACTATTAAAAAGGGTGTTATGTTTGGTAGGGTCGAAATTTTTACAACATATTATAAAAATATAAATAAATTAAAAAAAAACAGAACCAAAGCTTTGCATTAAACATTATTTTTAGGTTAATAACTTTGCTACCAAGGTTGACGTAGGGGATGACAAATACCAATTAACGGCTTTGCTTGGCTTTAACATAGCAAAGCCAATACTTACATTGGACCTTTTTCATCTCAATTGATCTCCCTGTGGTGTCACCTGGGGTAGCTACTTTCGTATAGTGAGCTGATATGTGCTGCGAGTTTACCCATAAGAACAATAAAAAAATGAGTTGAGACGTCGGATTAGTTTTCCACACTCGGAAAACCCCGAATAAAAAAACCAATATTAATGCCTAAGTAAATCAAATGATTACGCACTATAGTACAGCTGCCATGAAACGAGATATTTGGCTGCGGATTTATGGTTAGTAGCAGAATAAAAGACCTGGTTTCCAGATTCTCTCCAGTAGATGAGCGTAATACTATAATCCATATAAAAGCGAAGTTCTTCTACATCAGTCTCATTTGCGCCCATGCTCGGACCGAAGACAAAGATGTGCCGACCAAAGACATATTTCACGAGTACCTAAAACAGCAAATGACATAGCCATGACATTAAAAATCTGCTAAGAGATTTATGGTTAGCAGCAGAATAAAAGACCTGATCTCCAGATTCACTCCAGTAGATGTGCGAAATACTATAATCCGTATAAAAGCGAAGTTCTTCTACATCAGTCTCATTTGCGCCCATGCTATCGAAGACAAAGATGTGCCGAGCAAAGACATATTTCACGAGCAGCTATAAACAGGAAATGTCCTAGCCATGACATTAAAAATCTGCTAAGAGATTTAAATTCAAAAATTTGGCCCCACCATCGGAAAATTCAGTATTCAATAGTAACGGTGAAGAAGAAGATGGTATATATTATATACCACCTAGCCAAGATGAGGCCAGAACAGTAATTAAAATTGGCTGCCAGCCTGTGTCTATATATTACCAGCCGAACTATTGAAGACCAGTGGTCAGACGCTGATCCGGAGCATGCACCAACTGATTAGTATAATATGGCTAGAGGAATGCATGCCTAATGATTGGAAACTCAGCAGCCGTGCACAAAAAAGGAGATAAGACAAGGTATGTGCCAACTATAGAGGAATTGGTCTCCTTCACTCCCATAAAAGTTCTATCCAGCGTGCTGTGTGAATGACTGAAACCAATAGTCAATGATATTATTCGATCTTTTCAACGCGGATTCAGACCTGGCGAATCCACTAGACCAAATCCTGGAAAACCCAACGAAAACACATTGACAAATTTCAACTATTCGCCGACTTTAAAGCCGCATTCGACAACCCAATTCGCTCAGATGTGTTTAAATTAGTCTCCGTGTTCGGCATTCCTGTACAATTTATACAGCTATGCAGAATAACTTTAACTGACACAATGACAGCAATTAAAGTCGGAAATTATCTTTCGGAGCCTTTCAATACAGTACGAGGCTTCAGACAAGGTGGCAATTTGTCGTGTGATCTTTTTTAACATCCTGCTGGAAATGGTCATACGAAATGCAAACGAAATAGCATATGATACTCGCTAATCCGACGACTTCGACATGGTTCGAACATTGCGAATGGTAACAGCGACCTTGGTTTTAACGCTCAAGACGTCCAGTAGACTCGGCCCAACTGTGGAACTTGAAACCTACAGAATCCAGGTTGTGAACGATTTTATATGCCTCGGTACCGCCATAAATAAAACATGTGACACCAAAATATGCTACAATGGTCTAAGTAAGCAATTCAATGAGCAAGTAGAAGAGGCTGCCCTTGCAGTGTTTGAGAGAAAAATTCTTCGAATGATCTATAGACTGATCTGCGTCGACGGTGAATATCGACGTCGAATGAACAACAAGTTGTACCATATATTCCCGGTAATCGACATAGTCAGGCGTATCGAGCTGCAGCAATTATGGTGGCTAGGCCATGTTGTGAAAATGGATGAGTATTCTCCAGCTCAATATATATATATATATATATATATATATATAAAAGCGAGCCAACTGATGGTTCACGCAAAAGGGGAAGGACACGATTTCGATGGAATGATCAAGTGGAAGACAACATTTCGAAACATGGCCTTTCAAATTGGAGATCTGCGCACAAAGCCGTCGCGCTTATTGGAACAAATGTTCTGCATCAGGCCAGCTAAGTAAGTATTATTAATATTGTTCATATTTTTGGGCCAAATTGACTGTTTTTCAGTACAGATAATCGCCCTTGAACAGATAATCCGATATCGCAAATAATTAAGTGCGTAGAAAAACGTTCTACTAATAGCTACTTATTTCATATTTTTGAGTTTCCATCTTACCGTAGCTTGTCCACATAAAAAAATTCTGATCAATTTTGTTTGAATGTCCAATATTTATATTATATTTTTCACGCCTGAAGAAGATAATGCGTTTAAAGATTTTTTGCAGACAGTCAGGGTTTGTATAGAGACTTATGTCTACCTAAAATATTTTTGTGATACCTATGCGAAGGAAGTATTCTTTAGCTCTTCCAAGAAAGCCTTCTTCAATGAAGATGCTTATCAGACCTTTTATACGCTTTCTTCAGGCTTTCTGTTGCCCGGATTCCCTATTCTAGCCATTGGACAGTTAAATATGTGTAACCAAGTCGAACTAAAGAGTTGTCGTGGGCCTTTATCCAAAGAAAAGTTATTTTAAACCAACCGAAGTAAACAGCCTTTATTAAAAAATGTGATTTTAACCCAACCGAAATAAAGAGCCGTCGCACTGTGGGCGAAATGGACGATCTAGCGTCGTTTAATTCAATTTTCAAAGTGTTTAATTGCGCCAAAATTGTATCCCTATCGATTACTACTATCCCACTGATCTAATATATCGATTCTATTCTGATTGATATGATCTAGTTGAACAGCTGTGAGCTGTCAAACACAACATATGTTTCAGCCAATGCATAACTAAGCTTCAACACGTGTTTTCTTTGCATTGCCAAATTTTCTCTAAAGTTGCATTTGTCTCAATTAAGTGAATGCAAAGTTGATTTATTTATTGTTAGAGGTATGTATTAACTAAAAAAAATTTTGTTTGTGACCTGTGCTTAAGTGTTGTAGAAAAAATATAGTTCAAGTGTACTATACCACTCATCTGCTTGAAAAAATCCAAAGTAAGACTTCCGTAGACTGGAACTTCTGATATTCGTGTGTATTCGCGCTAGAATGTGTTTTTTTTAAATTACTATGTCGTCTTGTGATTGTAAAATGTCCAAATGATCTGCAGCCACCTGCAACTTTACATGATATTGCATTTTTTAGGAAAAATGTCGATGCTCAGACGAGAAGTTTATTTACTATGGCGCAACGAGTCTATGTCTACTAAAAAATTTTCTGTCATTGAAACTCATATATTTAATAATATTATTAATATTAACATGTGCGATGCTAATAAATTTCATCTAATAATAAAAAAAATAGAAAATTTGTAGCAAAATTGGCTGAGAAATGGAAATTCGATCGTAGAAGCAGCCACAAATTTGAAGAAAACAACAAGT